ATGCCATATTCGACCACTTCCACAGCACTCACCTTACCTTTTCTCTGCCTTTGTGTCTGTCTGACTCTTTTACCTCTGCGAATCCCCCTTCTGTTCTCCCCTCTCGAATTTTTGTTACCTTGATGTTCCTTCTCCTCTCTAGTTAAAGCCCGAAGTCAGCTAAAGTGCTAATAATAACTATCAAAATGCCTGCAATTTGAAATAAATAAATTTTAGAATACCAAACGAATTTTACTTAGATACCACTCCTGCCCGGCAATACGACGGTTTGCTGACTTCGCACCATTAGGAGAAATTCACAAGGGCTTTGCGGCGTACTTGTAGAACGTGCCCATTAATAGGTTCTTGTTGCGTTAGGCTAGGTACAGATAAGCTTTTGCCATTTTCCACTCTATCCCAATTTGTTCTCTAAAATGAATTATTCATTTGTCTAACTTCTGAAAATGTCTGATCTCTTGGCAATTAAGTATTTTATCGATTTTTCCTCAAAATTCTTTACCTATTTTGTGATCTTTACTCTTACAGTTGGTACCATTTCGTCTTGGTTGGTAATGAGTCACTTTTGTAATCTTGTAGAAAATTTTATTATTAAGTATAGATTTTTCAACAAAGACGGTTATGCAAGTTCTTCGTGAGAAAGCCGTAAAGTTACCTCAGGTAATTTTCGATGCCAACTTTCCCTACCTCATTCTTTGAGATGGACCCAAACGATTAAATCAATGCCATTTCACTTTATTTGAAATATTTCTTAAATATTTGCCGATTATTCAGTAGCAAAAAACTATTTTGAGATAATTTGTAGTATTCTTTTATATTTCCCACTTTTTAATTATAATATTCTAAGCCTTAATTAAACTCAAAACTTAAATATTCAAAGGATGTTTTTTTCAATTAATACCTTGTCTTTCTGCTCTGACGAGTTTAAAGCTCCTCAAAACACATTTTTAACTCAATAAAATTCTGAAAATAATTTTAATAAATTTGAAATTAAAGTGGTAATTATAGCTTTCTTGTGGCCTGAAATGAAATTAATGTTCTAAGTAGTCATAATTATTTAACATTCGCAAATGTAATGCCCATTTCTATTCCATATAAATCTTTTCGAAAGATAAAAAGATATAGCTACTTCAAAATCAAGGCTAATTTTGGCCTTCTTCGACAACCACAAAATTTTTTTATTCTCATATTTATGTAGTTGCAATGTTTCCTAATTTTTATTTTGTTCTTTCTTTTAATAATAATAATAAGTGCACTTAATTAAAGAAGTGGCATGGATATAGACTGCGAAATATTGTGCGCAGCGTGAAAATTTTCATGCAACGAAAAAGTGGACCTTATCGATTTTGTAATTTTCTTTCAACTATTTTGACATTCTCTCCGTCTTCAGTTTGTTACGATTAGTTCTAAAGGTTGTAATCATAGAAACCTATTGTTCTACCTTCGTTGAGCAGCC